TCAGTCCCAATCTTCCTTCTAACTCTTTTTTCGTTCCATTTTTTCACTTTGGTCTCAAGGCACCCTAATACTGTAATTTTATTCTTAAGCAGAAAGGCCTTGAGTTCTTTCTTCTTGTAGGGCTTATTAAGCCCTCTAATATTCCATGAACTAATAATCATAGGGGGTGAACCAAAGGTACTGTTCCTTCTTTTGGTGCCAAACTAGCATCCTGCCTTTCCTAAATTCTTTAGGCATTGAATCTGTTTTTATGCAGCATAGCTTCAATAGTCTCATCAGTCATACCCTTTCTCATTGAGCTTTTCTCCTTGGTACTTTGCACCTGTTTTCCTTTTGACTTAGCTATCTGAAAATCATTGTCCTTCTGCTCTATTTCTGTACTGATGACTGGTGGTGCAATTGGTTCTTCTTTGCTGGCCTCAACTGTAACCTCTTGAGTCTGTGCTTCCCAATTGTCTTTGGCTTAGCGATCCATTTGGTGATTACTCTTTTCCCCCTTTTTTCCGTCCACCTATTTGTCCTTTGGCATCAGGTCCTGGGTACTTTTTCATCTCTGTTTGGCCATTACATTTCCCTGTGTCATGACCTATTGTAAGACAGTCTTGACAGAAGGAAGGATGCCAATCATAGCTCAATTTTTGCTTCCTTATTTTTCCTTCAGCAGTTTCTATCAGCACTGTCTCAGGTAATGCTTGGGACACATCCATCTCAATCAACATACAAGCATAGAATATTCTAGCCTCCTGTGCTATTAGTTTATCAGTACAAATTGGGTTCCCAATCGAGCTTGCAATTCTCCCTAAGTTCTCCACTGTCCAGTACTGTATAGGTAGCCCAGGGAAGTTGTCCCACACTGGAACATTTTTGTGGATTCCTTAGTAATTTGGAAATCTGGTTCCCATACTTTCAATATCATTGGTCTGTTATTGAAAGTGTATGGTCCATTTTGAAGAACCAAATCTCTGCCAGACTCCATACACAAATTTCAGCATCTCTTTGAATTGAGGAGATCCACCTATAACATAGCCAATTAAGCTAGTCCTCCATCTCCTATTCTGCTCTTCCACTTCTATATGGTTCAATCTAACAATTTTCCTTCCATCTTTAACAATAGGGGGGTAATAGTTCAATTTCAAACCCTATTGTAAATCGATTACCTTGAACCACAGCAGCTAGAGTTGGTTTTGAAGTCCCTATGCCAGACGAGAAGGTTAATTTCCTTGCTGCCGTCGCCATGTCCGTCTCATTTAGTGTTGGATCTGCAGGGGTCTTTGTTGACGGAGCTGCCTGTGCTTGAGTTGCCATCAGCTCCTCCGATTCCTTCCTCTCTTGTCCATGCAGAATAGTTGATGCACTACTCATGCCTTTCATCCAATGGAACAGTTGCACCGAGTCTAAAGCTTGGGGAATCTCCGTTTCTGGTGTAACTAACCTTGTATCTTCATCTTCTACCTTATCTTCCTCGTCTGCACTCATTACCTTAGCTATGGAGTTCTTCTTCCTCTGTCTCGCCATCCCTACCAGCGCAAGTTAGCAGACCTTGCTTAACGTGCACTAAGAGAGCAAGTACGCAGCCCGCGCGTTGCGCGGTAAATAGTAATTATAACTAGTAGACCGTATTTCTTTAATAAATTATAACTAGTAGTCTTACCCGCGCGATGCGCGTTAAATATTAAAAAAAATATTAATTAAATTAAATTATGATAGGGCTTGTTTGATCCTATTAGACTGTATTTCTTTAATAAATTTAAATTGTTATCTTATTTGTCAATACGATATACCAATAATAAAATCTCAGTTAAATTAAAGATACTTATATAGTTAGTGAATATCTTTTTTGTTCTATATTTTTCTTTTATTACATTATCTGTTGTTTAGTATTATTACGTTCTTAATAATAATTTTTATTAGTATTATTACTTTGTTTACTATTTTTGTCTGCTCGCTTTCTTTTGATAATATAAGAGAAGATATATAATTTATTGCTGTTGAAATATTTTTTTATTTTGAATTTTATTCTGTTGTTCATAATAATATTATCTAAATTTTAATGAATAAAATCTCGATTAAACTAAAGGGACTTATACAGGCAGCGAATAACTTTTTTGTTTTGTATTTATCTTTATTATATCATCCAATATTTAGTATTATTGCATTGTTAATAGAAATTTTTATTAGCATATTACTTTATTTAATATTTTTCTCTACTACTTTTTTTTTTTGTAATATAATAGAAGATATATATTTTATTATTCTTGAAATAATTTTTATTTTAAATTTTGTTCTATTGTTCTCAATAATATTGTCTGAATTTTAATCAACAAATTCTGATTAATTAAAGGGACTTATGTAGTCATCGAATAACTTTTATTTTTAAATGTATTTATCTTTATTATATCGCCCATGTTTGAGTAGTTATTTTAGGTAGTTAATTTTGTTGTGTCTTTTTTATCATTCTTTTTTGTAAATAATTTTTGAATCTCCAAATTTGTTGGAGATTTGTTCTAAAAGTTGTCACTTTGTTAATTTTTTGATGTTACATTTGGAATTATCACAATAATTTGCTTCTCCTATTCTATATAAATAGAATAGATATTGTCTGACTTTTAATGAATAAAATCTCTATTAAATTAAAGGGATTTATATAGTCATCAACTAACTTTTTTGTTATGTATTTTTGTTTATTATATTGTCCATATTTAGTATAATTATATTGTTAATAGAAATTATTAGCATATTACTTATTTAATATTTTGGTCTAATTTTTTTTAATATAATAGAAGATATATATTTTATTACTCTTGAAAATATTTTTTTTAATTTTAAATTTTATTATATTTTTCTCAATAATATTGTTTGAATTTTAATGAATAAATACATTTTTTATTTCGAAATAGAAAAATGAAAATGATTTTAAAAAACGAAATAAAAAAATTAACTAACCTAAACCAATCCTCACCCATGTTTGAGTAGTTAATTTAGGTAGTTAATTTCTTTATTAATTTTTAATAAATAATGTTTCTGTTATTAACTAATTGTGCCATGTGGCTTTTTTTATTGCTTTATTTTCGTTTTTTATTTTAAAATAATTTTAGAACTCCAACTTGAAACTACTCCCCAATTTGAATTGGTAATTTTTTATTTTTTTAATTTCATTTTTTATTTTACAATTATTTTAAAACTCCAACTTGAAACTACTCCCCGATTTGAATGGGTAGTTTTTCTTCTTTCTTTTTTTCATTTTTTTTATTATAGCTAACTTGTTTTAAAAAAAATAATTTTAAAACTCCAACTTGAAACTACTCCCACCCAATCTGAATTGGTAGTTATATATATATATATATATATATATATATATATATATATATATATATATATATATATATATATATACACACACACA